TTCACCCTTTTGTCTCCAGCATAATAGATCATATAATCCTCTGACTCAAATGTCCCATGCCAGTTCTTCTCACTTCGCCAATACCTACTATGTCAATATTTATGCAATTTCCCTCTTAACAATATCCAATTTTCCTACATTCATGATTCTTACATTCCATGTTCAATCCTAGTGTCTGCTTACAGCTGTTCCTCCTCCTTTATGTTTCCATACTTGAGGGTTCACCCTCAGTTGCCATATCTGCTACTCTAAGTGTGCTCTATTGTACATAGGGTTTTCAAAAGTGAAAACTCTAAATTTTATTTCACAAGAACATGTTTACCTATAAGCTAAATATTTAGATAGATAACTATACACTTGACCACGGTACCTGGTAACACCCAGTGCATGAGTATCAGTAATTATATCAACATGAATGTTATTGGTGGTGTTGTGTACTGTCGAGTTGGAACTGACGCATAGCTGGCCCTCCAATAGGTTTTTAGAGGCAGTTAGTCACATAGGATGAGATTGTCTGTCTTTCTCCCACAGAGAAGCTGGTGGATTCGAGCTGCATGCCTTCAGGATTGTAGTGCATTTTCTTGCCACTGTGCCACCAGTGCTCTGTGTACATGGAATGCACTGAATTGACTTCCACATGAGTCAGATCTCAAGCCCATATTCTTGTTAATAATCTGGTTATGAATTGAAAGTTTGCAGAGAACAAGTTGATTGTCTTAGTAGATAAGAATAACATTAAATATGTCCATAATAAGCTAGAGTGATTACACTTTTAAAGGATAAAGTTCAAAAGAAAAATAGAATATAAAATGAAGATATAAAGAAAATGCTGTTCAGACTAAATAGAAATATGGTCACTGAGGATCCTAAAAGGATAATTGACTGCTTCACAAAACCTGTCCTTTCCTATGGTCATAAGGAGTGATTTCCTATGCCATCTTCTTTAGACTGTCCTTTCTAGCATCCCATATGCATATCCCACATCCACTGATTTCATGTCCTTCCTCCATATTTTGATAGTATCCTGGGTGGACCTCTTTTGTAGCAATTACCTCACTGTATTTTCACTGTATGCTTCTCCATGTCCTACAAATAAGTTACAGTCGTAGAATCTTTTCTCCTCATCAGAATCCTTGACACATTTTTGACTGCTCATTAAAATTTTGTTGAAGGAATAAGAAAGCAGCATTCTCAGTGGGGGCTTTTAGTTCACATATAGGACTTCTGGGACTCCATTCATTGAGCCAGATGAAAAGAGCACACTCCATTACAAAGATACATACCTATACCCAGACTATTTAAGGTTGGTTATTCTAAAGACTTGAGCCAGAAATGATAAATCTTGGATTCATGCATTCAGATTGCTCTGTCCTAGACAAAAAATGGACTAACTCTGTTTACTTTATTTGACATTCTGAAGCCCATATAGTGCTATCAACTTCCTAAAAGTAGAATGGAGTACCTGAAGTATTGTGGATAGTGATTGATCAGCTAATCAACACTTCCAGGAGCAATTACTAATATGTAATAATCTAGCCTATTGAGATCTCTGGTGGCATAGTCCATATGGAGTTGCTCTGCTTCTCCCAAGGTTTGAATCCACCATCAGCTCCTGAGGAGAAAGAAGGGAAGTCTCCTCCTGTTATGATTTACAGCCTTAGAAATCCTATCGAGGGTCACTTTGAGTCAGAAACATCTCAATTGCAGTGAGTCTTGAGTTTTGAGATAAAGCCTATACTAAGTGAATAGAAGAGGGTTGACTGTTCTATTAACTTAAAACCATACAGTGCTTATCTGTGATGTTTTTGTCTGCTTTCCCCCATCTCACCCTTCTTGTTTTCCCCATTTGTGTGTATCCTTATTTCTTATATATTCCTCTTGGCTCTTCACGTTTCTACATAGTTCTTCACCTCAACCTATTGTCTATTCTTGTCCTGTCTTTTTAATTCTCCTTGTGACCACATAGAATTGAAGTGCATAAGAAAAGTTTTTATTAAAAAAAAAGAGAAAAGTTTTTATTGTACTTTATTTTTTAATAAATACTTGATTTTCTCATCTTAATTTAAAAATGGGGCAGTGATTTAATTTACATTTCCTCCTATAGCCCTTTATGAATGGCCATATCTAGAGAAGTTATGTTATCTCTGGATATGTGAATATTGCACATCTCAGGCATAGCCTTTCAAGACCACTGTGGAGATTGTCCTTGATTTCAGGAGTTCACACCAGTTTTTAATGTAGATTATGGCTAACTATACATCTGAAAATTCAACCCAGAGTTAGACTATTAGATCATGGTCATTTACAATTTGAAAGTAGCTTGTTGTTGTTATATAAGGAAAATAAATGTCCCCTTAGAACATTTAAAAACTTGGTCATGTGCTCCTTAAACCCTCGAAAAGAAAATGTACCTATTTTGAGTGCTTAACCTCAGTGTGTATATACAAATCTGTGGAATTTGTTTGAACAGCCCTTGATTTTATTGCTTTTAATATTCTTGCCCATGTTGTAAGATAAGCCTATAACTTGTGAATTTTCATGTAACTTTATACATTTTATCATTAAAATTTATATCTTTTCAAAGCTAGTAAACTTTGGAATATAGCCCCATTAGGGTTTGGTTTTCATCAAATTGGTGGTTGGCTCTTCACTCTGTTTGCTAGTGAAATGGTTGCTGGGTGAATTTTGTCAGGGTAGGCATAGTAACAGAACTGATTGTGCAGGGATTGGAAACGGTTTCTTTTTCTGACTATACTGTTGTTGAAGGGACTCCAATGACTGCTTGTATGATCTGTCTCTATTTTTCATTTTTTCAGTCTCTTGATAATGTATAAAAAGATAAATTTAAATGACTGACAAAAGGAACATTGGCACCACAGTGAGAACTGTCTTACTCAAGTGATTTATCTTAAATTTGGCCATGAATGAACAGAGAGAATGAAAATATTTTTAGTCTTGAAATTCAAATAAAAAGGAGAGGAGATGATGATAGGAGGTTGATGGAGTGTTTTGTTAACAGTGGGGAGTTCAAGCAAACTTCTACTCTAAGAATTAGACATTCCTTAGTATTGCCTAAGACTTCCTGATTTTTTTCAATATGGAAGCCAGAGCGTCAGGAACAGGATGCTCTGTGGCCCCTATAGTATGATATGAATGAACTTAGGTCTGACCTGGATACTCACAATGTATTTGTCAAGTTTGATTAAATAAAGTGACAATCTTCAATTCACTAAAAATAATTTTACCTTAAGAAAAATACTAAAATTCTACTCTGGGAAATTATTACCCATGCTATTGATTTTTGCCACTTTAATAGTTCTCAAATTAACCTGCCTCTCAGTCTCCACCATTGCTAACTTTGTGCAAATTTTCAGTTTTTCATCTGATCCTCTTCTGACCCAACTCCACATTTCAATTGAGTCATATGTTAAAATTCTGTATTTAACTTTCTGAGAAACCTGCACACCAGCTGTACCATTTTACATTCTCACCAGTGATGTATGTGGATTCCAGTCTCTACACAGCCTCATCCATTCCATTTCTGATAATATTGATCGTAGGGGGTGCAAAGTGGTATCTCACTGTGGTTTGAATTTGCATTTCCCCTATGGCTGATAGCTTTGAACATGTTTTCATTCTTACTGACCATATATATATATTCTTTGGAGAAATGCCTTCTTAAACCCTTTGTACATTTTTAATTAAATTTTTTGAGTTGTAGAAATTCTTTACATGTTTTGGTCTTAATATTAGTAAAAATGATTCCCAAGTATTTTCTCTCATTATTTATCTTTCCTTTCTTGATGAAATCCTTTGATGGACAAAAATTTTTCATTTTCATAAAGTCCATTTTATAAATTTTTTCTTTTGTTGTTCATGCATTTACTGTTCTATAAAAGACACCATAGTTAAAAAACAAAACCCAAACCAAAAAAACAGCCCTTTATTTTTCCTTATATCTTCTCTTAAGATTTTTTGTGGATTTTAGTTCTTGTATTTAGGTTATTCATTCACTATGAGTCAATTTTTATGTATGGTATAAGGAGTGGAGCCACTAGTCTTTGGCTTGTGGCATCCGGTTGTCCAGTAGCACCCTTTATTTAAGAAACCATATAGAGTTTATGAGTCATTGTATGAAAAAATTAAAGATGTCATAGTTTATAGACTTCTAATTCTAGGATTAGTAGTAGGAAAATTCTAGGTAAGCCCCTTAGTCTTATTAATAATAATAGTATTCCAGCAGCACATCTTCAAACATAAATTATGGTTGAATGTATTTGAATGAGACTAGTCAGAAAATGGACTATTTTTTTTTTATGACAAGAATACGTTAGTAGGAGCTGGAGCTTATAGGATTTTTATGGGCTGCTATCCCGTGGACAGTTTAAAATACAGTTTAATTTCTTAAATGGTTTTATTAGTTTAAATGAGAATATCTCTTACATTTTTTTTATGTCATTGACAAGAGTATTGTAAATCACCATAGTCATTTTCTAGGAATATCATAATGTGAAATGTGTGTCCACACAATCACACATGTATATAAAATCAGATTCTTTATTATAGACTAACCCTCCATAAATTCAACAAAAACTTCTTACTGCCATTAAATCAGAACCTGCCTTCTAGTGGGTTTTCGGGAGGCTGTGAATACCATGAGAGATTGACCATCCTTTTCCCAGAAAGGAGCTGGTGATTTCTAGTGCCAGAGAGGTGCCCCTGTGGGTTAACAGTGCACCTCCCTATGGATTATGTCATCAGAGCTCCCTAATAGATACTCTTCTCTATTAATGTTTGCTATCTTTTCTTTCTTTCTGTGTGTTTAGTCTGTAAGTAGTTATTTTATTCATAAATACTATTTCATGTTCCTGTCTATATTTTACATGTATGAAATAGCAGTAAGCCACTGTATCTTACTGATGAGAACAGAGAAGAAATAATATTCATTATATTCAGAAATGGGCAGCACGATTAACACGCTACTCCTCTTTGTTTTACAGAGATGAGAGAAATCAGTCCATCATTGTAAGTGGAGAGTCTGGGGCAGGAAAAACAGTCTCAGCTAAGTATGCCATGCGATACTTTGCAACTGTAAGTGGTTCTGCCAGTGAGGCCAATGTTGAGGAAAAAGTCTTGGCCTCCAACCCCATCATGGAGGTAAGACAGCAGCATCCACAGCCTTCTTAATATAGCTTACTTCTACTCTTATATCATGTCCATATTCTTACTTCTCTTGTTAAAAAACATGTTCAAAATGAAGTGATAGAACAATATTTCTGAGAAAGTCTGGGGCCTCCTAGCCACCAAAATTAGGAAACTACTTTTCCACGTGTTAGCAATCTAGGAAAAATGAGTATTCAGCAAAGTAGACCTTTTTAGTATAAGAGGAATCTGCTTTAGTCTATAATCGTGCCTTTTTTTTTAAACCTACCACTGAATTGTTGTCTTTGCATTAGAAGGCAGTGATATTTCTTTTCAGCAGTTTCTTTTCTCCTAGTTAATTGACTCATTTCTGTTGCTCCTTGTATCCAAAACACAAGTTACTCATTTCCCTTCAGTCCAGAGATGTTCCGGTACTTTCCAGAACACAAGCTTTGTTATGCTCAAGCATGAAGGAATTTCATTATTCCATTTTCACATTTCATTTTCTGTACTTAGTCTAACTTGTCTAGCTAAAAATTTTTATTTTCTTCTAGGTTTAAACTGTAAACGGAAATCATGATCACAACCTCACTGTTATCCATAAACATTTGTTTGTTTGTTTGTTTCTGTAAAGCCCATCACAAAGATTTAGGTTAGAAAAAATAATTCAGTGACATTAAATTCATGAAAAAGTGTGAAAGAATGTCCTTTCAAGAGTTGAATACTTATACAAAGTAGAAAGAAATGTTTTTACCAAAGGAAATGGGAGTAGTTACATGAGTGAGAATTTAAGTATTTTAAAGTTTGGAACTAGAAGACTATTTACATATTAATTGGATTTTAGGAAAACTACAATCTTGTAAGAAATTCCACTAGCAGAGATAAATAGGTCTTATTAAATGGAGAGAGTAAGTTTTGAGCATGCAAAAGCAAATGTTTCTGTTGAAAATTTAAACCAGCATTTTTATTCTTTTCCCCTTCCCCTTCTTGTCAAGCTTTATTTGTCACCCAAACACAGATGACTTTAGAACTGGCCTGGTGCACCTGTTGTACGACTGATTTTGCAATTATCTGCACAGAGGTAATTGTACCTGGTTTGCAGTGCTGTGTGTGACACTTCCAAATGCAGTGCTTTGACAGTTTGCCTGAAGGGCTGTGCCCTAGAGCAGCAGGATTTCTGGAGGAGTTGAGAGGACTGGAACCTTTATGGAAGTAGAACTGGGAAGGTTTTCTAAAATAGAACGGACAGAGGAAACAGATACATATACTAGAGGAGAGTGGTACAAATACCAAAAGAAATTTTGAGCAAATATTAAGATTTGTTTTTAAAGCATTTGACCTATAGAAAATAGAGGTTTATGTTGCTAAGTATTTGTACTAGAAGAACATGATCCGTGGAGCAAATTTTCTGTTTGGGTTGAAAAATGACATTTGCTTCTTACCATTGTTTTGACTGGTTTTGGTCATAACAACAAATTATTGACGTTTGCCTACAGTTCATGACTTTCTGATCCCATATGTTAGAATCACCTCTAGTGGCTTAGTAGTAAAGAATTGGGCTGCCAGCCTAAAACCAGGCAGCTTGAATCCACTAGCTGCTCTGAGGGAGAAGGATAGGCAGTCTCCTCCCATGCGGTTTACTATCTCTGAAAACCTGCGGGAGGGTCAGCTATGATGTGGTTCCAGCTCAACAGTGCATAACAACACGGATTTGAGTAATGCTTGTAAGAATGATAGTAAACTTTTAGAATGGCCCCAGATACTACTTCCTAAATTTGATGGTCATTCTAAAATGCCATGTGCAGTATCTGTAACCATTCTGAAATTACATTTCCCATTTGCTGGGATAAAACATAAAGGGCTCAGTTATGCTTAACTACTTCCTTCATATTATTGTTTTGCCTGTTTTCAGGAATTTGGCCTAAGAAAAATTTGGTAAACAAACAAGGAACTAATGAGATATTAAAAATGGGTGACCCTGGAGGACATTATGCGGAGTGAAGTAAAACAGGACTGACATCGGGGTTGGGGGGAGACTGAGAAAGATGGAATAAATTGGAATAAATAATGTATACTCCATTGAAACAGATGAGGGAGAGAACTGTTTAAAAGGGATATGTGATTAAGTATTATTGTCATGACAGGAGTCCAGAATGAAGGCTGCATAATAGAGTGGACCTGGTGGGGGAGGGATTGTAAAACAATGAAAGAAATTTTCATTTACTTTTAAAAGAGAAGAGTGAATTGGCCGGGGGAGGTGGGGGGAGGGTTGGGCAGCGAGAAAAGTGCAACAACGAATGAATGGAAATCCAAAATCTCTGTAAATTTTCATTAAAATTAATAAAAAAAAATTGAGCAGAAAAAAATTTGGTAAATAGTTGGAAAACTGATGTTTATCAACTACGGAAAGAGGAACCCTGCTAAAGGATTAAAATGGAATTTGGGGCTGGAGAATTCTCACAAAGATATTATATTTACAGAAGAAAAAACAGATACATTATAGAATATGTGTGCCAAGAAATGAATGTTGCAGCTCTAAATATGCCTTGAATCCCTATATCAAGAATGTCCAATCTCTAGTTCTCTGCTGACACTCCTAGTTGAGTAATAAGTGTCCTACATAGTCAGTGTGACAGCCTCGTGGCTGCATAATGGAGACTTGCATACTGTCTTGTAAAAAGCAAGCTTCTCACCCTCAACATGGACTCCTGGTATTAACTATAAATGATAGGGAAAAAAATTATTCTTATTCTTTTTTTTTGACATGTTTTATTTTTCTCCTGGAAAAATTTAAAACCTAAAATGAGAGCAGGGAAGATTCTTGAGATCCACGGGGTCTTAATAATTCTTTTTCACATTCAAGCTCTCTGTAGTTGACAATTTTTAGATCTATTTTGTGAAAGTAAATAACTCTCTCACCTAACATTTCACTAAAATCCGTACTAAAATTGAGATTATAAAATTTTTCTTTTCTAACAATTTCTTATTTATTGATTGAAAAATAGCATTGAAGGAAGCGGTTGTGAACACTGTATTTATAAGGCTGAGTAAAAAATTAATGGGAGATGAACAAAAGATACTGTTTATATAGAGAATCTTTTTGTCCTTTGGTGGTATAATCTGTTGGGAGCTGGACTGCTAACATAAATGCTGCATCTGTAAGGTGGTTTGAATCCATCGTTTGCCCTGAGGGAGAAGGATAATCCCTCTCCTCCCAAGTGATTTATAACCTTTGAAAACCTGCTAGAAGAGAAATTTAGTTATGAGTCAGTTCTGACTTGACAACAATGAGTTTGAAATGGGTTCCCGCCCCCTCCCAACCCCCCATATCAGTTTTAGGGCTTAGAATAATATAATTTTATTTTTTTTAAAGGCGTTTAGAGCTTATCCGTCCCAGTCAGTTTATACCTGTGGGCACTACAGTACAGTATTAATCTTAGCAAATGGATATTTGGGCCTGTTCTGATAACCATCTGTTCAGATTTTACTTCATTTGATCTTTATATCACTCAATATTCAAATAATTACATCTTAAATAGAGAAAAAAAGATCTACTTCAATTTTAGCTTTCTTACTGCCTCTTCTCACAGAGCAAAGTATGTATTTCTGCTCCATTTACTCAGCACTCCACCCTGAGTAGATGGATGGGGAAGAAAGATGAGATGAGATTTGGAGACAGAGGAGAAACTGGACCACTCTTCTCTGCCTTGCTCAATTACTGGATGTAAAGTCCTTAGAATTGGGCCTATTAAGCACTCCCAAGCATGATGCCCCTCTCCATAGACTGGTCTCTCCTGGTGTCATGCCCAAAGTAGGTCAGACAAGGCTTCAGAATCCTTGCCTCTGACTTACAGCCTGGTTTCACCCTCTCTAGTACGAACCTGTTTGTTCTCTTAGCAATTCATGATATATTCAGCATTCTTGTCCAGCACCACAGCTCAAAAACATCAGTTCTCCTTCTGTCATCCCTAGTCATGCTTGGGAGAGTGAAGGGGCAGCACAAGAGAGGAAGACCCTCGATGAGATGGATTGGTTCAGTGAGTAGGGTAATGGGGGTAGGTGTGCCAGAGACACTAAGATTGGCACAAGATGGAGAAGGGTTGAGGGCTATCGTACATAGGGTGGCTATGAGTTGTAGGTGACTTGACAGCACATAACAACAACATTAAGCACTCAGTAAATGTGTTGCTATTTTTTTATTTCATCCTTCCTCTGTTCATTGGTTCAGTATATTGTGTTGAAAGAAAATGGTTTCTTTTTCTTTAATTTTCTAAAATGAAGAAACTAGTGAGAACTTACAGAGATTTTGTTGTTCTTTTTGGTAGTTTCAAGAAAGACATATCAGAGTTAATGCCTGAATAGTTACTTACATTATCCCAGGCCACATTGTTGTTGACGTGCTATCAAGTCGACTAGAACTCACAGCAACCCTGGGAACAACAGATCTATACCAAGTCCTTTCTATCCCATATTTCATCCCTCTGCAGCAACCACTGTGTCAGTCTATCTCATTGAGGGTCTTCCTTTCCTTTGCTGATCCTAGATCACTTTTCACTGAGAAGTCACATTCTAATCTTTATTGGGTTGCTATAAAATTATTTAATTAAAAAAATCTTTGGCCAAAAAAAAGCATTTACATTTTTAATCTGATGTATCAATGTCATCAGTGACAAAGCAAAATATGATAATACCTGCCTTTTTTTTTCAGAGAGTGACAATACATTTTTTATCAGAGAACTAAATGTGTTGACCTTTGTGTCTCTGTCACTGCTGTTTTCATCATTTGTATTTGTGTTCTCTTTTTAATACCCAACAGCATTTTCACATCTTTCTCTCTGCTGTTTTGATGTACTAATGCTGTTAGTCACAGGTTTTGCACAATTGAAAGATTTTAATCTTCTATGAAATTAGCTTCATATACATATAACATGCAGTATATGAGAAGTTGCATTTCCAGTTGCACTATTTTTAAAAGTACAATTTGTTTTAGAAGAAAAATTTGTGTATGTTACTAAAACTAGAAAATAATGCATATGTCATATGTTTTTAATATTTAATGTTATGTAAAAATTTAGCAGAAAGTTACATTCTTATATTTTGTTGCAGATATTTTGCAAATTAGGTTCAACTATCAAAATCCAAATATATTTTTTTTACTGTCAGTGGTTTCTAAAAATGGCATTAGATCACACCGGCAGTGTTAACGCTGTGCTATAAGAAGTTCAACTGGAACAGTGTAAAAATACAGTATTAGGATGTCTGACCTCCTCTAAGTTCAAGAAGGGAAAGGGAGTCAGCATCAGTACTACAAGGCTGATTCCTGCCAGATAGAGATCAGACATACTTCCTCCTCCTAACATTTTTGCCATTTCTGACACCATCAGTTCATTTCATGGCACTGTGTGCCTCTTCTGGGTTCAATAATTTGTTACGCGTAACTCACAGACCATATGCTCATGATTGTGGGGTTTATTAAAGAAGTTCTAGACTCAAGTAGTTGAATGACTCAAGATAAAATTCTTCAGTCAGAACAATTTCTTCTCAGTCTTGCTCACAGACAAGTATCTCTGTCCTTTGGCTCCTCAGCCCCTCAACCTCTCCCCTTCTTAAGTGAGTATTAAAAGGTTCTGTAATTCCTCCACTAAGTGTCTGGATGTACCCCCCACCACCATATGTCACCAGTAGCTCTTGACCTGCAGGTGCTCAACTCTCTTGCCTCTTGCTCCGAGTCAATGAGCCTAGTTTCACTGAAATATGTCTGAAAGCACCTCAGTCTGCCACCAACCCTCCTGCCTTAAGTTGCTTAATTCTCTAATTCAATGATGTGCCACCTCCACTGTAGCTTATTCTGTGGGCCAAGAAGCCCCTGATGCTATCTCCTAGTCCTGCTACTGCTGGTTCTTCACTCTGCTTGTCACTGCTGCCCATGATGTCCTTTAGGTCATGGAGGTTCTCAATGTAGGGAGCTTGGGTTTGAGGGACACACCCTACTCCCAGTTCTTCCTGATAATACTAGAGTCCTCTCTGTTCTGAGATTGACTCTCGTTTATGCTTAGCAGAAAGATGAACATGGCTGATATCTTCTTTAGAGGTCAGCTACATGATGGTCCCACCTCACCAGGAATTCCATGCTCTTTATTTGCAAACTATTCACTACCTTTCGTGGCCCACAGGCACCTTATTTGTACTCTTACAGTAACTCTGTGGGAGTAACAAGATCATACATGACCCATGGGGCATATCAAGTAATTCTCTAGTCCACAGCCAGAATTTCTCTAGGACAATATGATGGAAGGAAACTTTCTGGGTAAAGTGACCCTGAACACCAAACCAAAACTTCCAGGAAAATATTAATTTGTCTTAGCTAATTTATTTACCACAAACTAAGCTTTTAAGAAATGAAAAACCTCTCATGTTTTACCAAGAGAACTCATTCCTTGACAGTTCCTAACCCCATCCATTCTCTCTTTGCCAGAATGAATGAACATGTATTTACATGTCCCAAGTGGTATATGAAAATCTCCCAACTGCTGGGCTCAAATTTCCAGTATCTAAATGCTATATATGTGAGAAGAATAAGACGGATAAGGACTATTAGTGTATATGTTTGGTGGTGCAGTGGTCAAAGCATACACTTGCACATGCAGGGGTAAATTGATTCTGTTCTTACAGGCATCAGTTCTGAAAGGTTGTGTCCTGTATACTTATTTTTTTCCCCTGAACAAATTCTGTAAATATTCATGACATTAATTTCGCTTCTGAAATCTTGCTTTCTCTCTTGTTTCCTAGTCAATTGGAAATGCTAAGACAACCAGGAATGATAATAGCAGCCGTTTTGGAAAGTACATTGAGATTGGTTTTGATAAAAGATATCGAATCATTGGTGCCAATATGAGAACTTACCTCTTAGAGAAATCCAGAGTGGTTTTCCAGGTAAGATGGGCATGTTTACATACATTCTGTGTTACACTGTCATGTACGCGCATGCTTGCTGATATGCATCTGATTTTCAATACCTTGACTGCATCATTGGCAATATTACAACAAACTACACTTGAACTGATTTGTGTAAAAAGGTACTTGTATGAAACATTAATAATCTTCGGCAATCGGTACATATTGCAGTTTAATGGTTTTGACTTTACCGATGTTGTTGTTAAGTGCCGTCAAGTCGCAGGCGACTCATAGCGACCCTATGAAGGAGAGTCCTTGACGCTGGGGTGCCTTTCATCCTCTCTCCAGGTTCATAGGGTTTTCCGAGGCAAGCTGTTATGGAGGTGGATGCCACTCCTCCTTCCAATTTGACTTTACTTATAGATAGTTTAAAAGCTTATTTAAGAAGAGATCCTGTTAGTTTAGACTTTTCTAGCATATTTCCTGGTGGCACTCTTGTTTAATCTTCTAACTGAAAGTTGGTGGGTCAAACCAACTTGGAGAAAAGATGAGGCATTCTGGGTCAGTAAATATTTACAATGTTGGAAATTCTGTGGTGCAGTTCTCCTCTATCCAGTAGGGTCCCTGTGATTTGGAATCTACTCAATGACAATGTGGCTGATATTGGTTTGGTTTGGTACAATTTTTCTCAGTTTTTTAAAAAAAGTATTGTTCATTTTGTGCCTTCAGTTAATTACAGTGTAAATTTACTTCAAGAAAGAAAAAATATCTTTGTCCTCTTCTTTGGAGAATAATATTATTTCAGTAGACTAAACAGTAAAGTCAACAACAAACCCACTGCCCTACAGCTGGTTCCAACAGATAGTGACCCTCTTTCTGCTGTATGAGGCTGTTGTAAATCTTTCTGGGAGGAGACTGCCAATCTCTTTTCTTTGGAGCAGCTGATGGACTCAAACTACTGACCTTTTAGTTAGCAGCCCATTACGTTATACACTGTGCCACCAGGATTCCTTTTAAATAGAAGAAAAGGATTAAAAATTACTGCTGTTGTATTGATTTCCTTTCATAGTCACTCTCCATCAAGTTTCTGAGGCTGTAAATTTAATAGAAAGAGACTGCCTGTCTCTCATGTAGTGCCGTTGCTGGATGCAACCTGCGTGAAGCAGAGCCTTTTGGTTAGTTGTTCGACACCCTGTGGATTGCTCCATTGTTTGTTGTTGTAATTGTTGTGTACTGTTAGGTTAGAACTGACCCGTAGCTGATTCTCCAGTGGGTTTTCAGAAGCAGTAAATGTCATGGGAGGAGATTGCCCATCCTTTCCCATTAAATCTACAGTTGGTAGATTTGAATCACATGCTTTTGGAATTTCAGTGCATTTTCTTACCACTAGGTCAGCAGAGCTTCATTACAGCACTTGGTATTGCCAGATGGTCTCCTACCCAAGTACTAACCAGGCCTGACGCTGCTTAGGTTCAGAGACCAGATGAGATTAGGCCCCTTCAGGGTTTTTACAATCCAGTTGTGAACTACTAAGAATACACTCAGTTGATTAATATCATTCCGGTGGATCTGTGTAGAATCTATATTCTCATCTGTATATGTTAGGTTATTTTTTTAACGGAAAGTATAGCACTGGCTGACATACATTACCATAATTATAGTCTAATCTAAAGAGTGTAGATTTATCTTTGGAAAACTCTCTGTAGAGAACTCCTAGTGACCTTTGTGTGCCTTATGCTGGGGATGCAAGATTGTGTGACCCAGAGCTTTGAGTCTCAAGACCCCTGGGCACTCAGTGTAGCATAGTCTACCTCTCAAGTCTGTTATAGCTTTGAGTGAGTTTGGGCAGCCATTTTCTTACATTTTCATGCTGTTTTAATAAGTACATATTTTAAATAAGGCATTTGGTACTTTGATTTTGGAAATGTGCTTGTGGCTATTTAAGCATCGATGGGGGTGTCTGTTGTTCTTGTTATGTGCTGTCGAGTCACCTGCGACTCATAAAGACCCTATATATAAAAGAACTCTGAGCCCTGCTCTATCCTGAGCCAACCTTATTTTCTCTGACAGACCTACCCCATTACCCCAGTCACTTTGTCACTCCATCTCATCCAGGGTCTTCCTCTCTTGTGCTGTCCCTCCAACCTCCCAAGCATATGTCCCTCTCCAAGGACTGGTCCCTCCTTGCAACATACCCAAAGTTTGTCAGATGAAGCCTCAGAATCCTTGCCTCCAAGGAGCAGCCTGGTTTCACCCTTTCCAAGACAGAACTCTTTGTTCTCCTAGCAGTCTATGGTATATTCATTGCTCTTCTCCAGCACCACAGCTCAAAGGCATCAGTTCTCCTTCTTTCATCCCTAGTCATTGTCTGGCTTCCTGATGCATAGAAAGTAAATGTGAAAACTATGGCCTGGATCAGGCACACTTTTTTTTTTATTATTAAATTTTATTAGTTTTAATGAACATTTACAGGGATTTTTGGTTTTCATTCCTTCATTGTTGCACTGTTTTCTCTACCCTCCTCCCCAGTTTGTTCTTCTTCCCCCCCGCCCCCCGGATGTCTATTTTAATTGTCCAATTGCCACAGTGCTTGTCAAAGCCAGTTCTGATTAATTTCCTTTGTCAGTGTGTCCTTTGCCATTCCCTATCACTCCTCCCTGAGAGAGACTTCACCCTGATTCATAAGGAAAAGGGGATGGCGTATTCTCTTAGCTACTTCCTGCTGAAAAGGAATGCTGTGGGTTTCAGGGTGAAGATCTTCTCTCACTACTCTAAAGGGCCCCTTTGGCAGTAGGAAACACATAGACTATTATGGAGATTGATTTTGGAATTTAGATGCACTGTTATTAATTGTGCTTAGCCGTACATGTTCATATCCTTAAAGATGTATCATGAGGTGTTGCAACCTAGAAGACACAAATTTAACTAACAAGTTAAAAGTACATGAGTCAAAAATTAACAAGCAGTAATATTCCGAGTAGAGGTTCTAGTAGTGGCACAAATCAAGTTACAGAGGGAAGGTGGTTCTTACAATAAAAGGCCTATAGACTAGCACTTTGTCTATTATAGTGTACAAGTTAGGAACCACAAGATGTAGAGGCTCAGCTATGTCATTTATGCTTCTTAAGTCCTGGAGCAAATTCCATCTACCACTGGGCTGTTTTACAACTCGCAAGTTCACATGCAAGGTAGAGGTGAAGTAAGGAAGTGCTTATGAGGTTTTCCGCCCATTCCAACAACTAAGAGATAGTGAGAAGGGTTGGGACCTCAGAAAACGTTTAGGACCAATTAGTAGGCTCTGTGTCCAGGAGAAAATGAATATACTTACCAGTAATGTTAATGCTCATCCACGGCTCTTCTGGGAGGATCTAAATCGTTGAAGCGCCCTCCTTTGTTTCCAGCTTGGAGCTGGGGCCTGTCAGTCCTGTCTGCCACGAGGACCTGATGTGGGCCACTTTGACCAAGTGTCCTTCAGAGCCACATTTAAAGCAAGTGAGTGGGAGCTTCCTCTCTACTCCCTTGCCTATCTGTGGCTTTCGTCTGTGACACTGTCTACTGAAGTGGCCCAGCTTTCCACAGTGGAAGGAATTCTGACCTCCTTTATTACCTTTGGGTGGCACTGTATATGAGGAAGACTTCCTTTTCAATCAGGCACACTTTAATCTCCAGACTGATACTGTTGCTCCTCAATGTTCTGACATGTCTCTGACAGCAGACTTTCCCAATGCAATCAATCTTTTAGTTTCCTGGCTGCTGTTACCAAAGTGTTGATTGTGGAGCTGAGCAAATTGAAGCTTTATATAATAGATAGATAGATAGATAGATAGATAGATAGATAGATAGATAGATAGATAGGCTAGATAGATAGATAGGCCAAGCAAACTAAAGCTCTCTCTCTATATATAACATTACATTTTGCACTGCTAATTGTTGTTGTTGTTAAGTGACATCGAGTTGCAGGCGACTGCAACCCTACGAAGGAGAGTCCTCGACGCTTGGGTGTGTTTCTTCCTCTCTCCAGGTTCATAGGGTTTCTGGAGGCAGTCTCTTATGGAAGTGGATGCCACTCCTCCTTCCAAGCTTGTTTTAATTGGGGAGCTCCACCCCACTCTCTGTCCGCATTGGGTGACCAACCATTAATGCATTTGACACATCAGTGTCACAGTGTTCAGCCTCATAGCAACCACAAGTGACTGCGGTATGGCAACTTGTACACCAGGGCTATACGACCTAGAGGAATGTCTGAACAAAAACAATGAAAGATAGGCCCGAGGGCCACTGCTAGTAGTAAGGTTAGCAGCTTGAATCTACAGCTGCTCTGCCAGTTAAAGTTGGACTGTCTCTTCCTATAAAGATTTGCAGACTTGGAAACCCAGTGGAGGGTCATCAGCAATTGGTATCCATTTGATGGCAGTATGCTTGGTTTTAGTTTAACTTATAACACTTGGTTTATATAGTAAGACAATAGTCTTCTAATGCATTTATAGACACAGGGAAATATTACTATACACATGCCCATATACATATACCTATTTGCATAGGTTACCCCCATTAAAGGATCATTTATTAGCCAGAAAAAAGGATGTGTGAAGCATTGGCAGATAAGATTATGTTAAAATAGTTGAGATATGATTGATCAGTAAATGATTGAAGGTTAAATAAGTAAGAAAGACAATCTGTGGTTAGTCAGGTTGCCAGAAGCTACTAGTACTTAAAAAAAAACCCAAGATCTTTATTGCTTTGTCTAGAGACAATGGAACAATTCTAATTATTTCCCAATTTCCCAGGTTTATATAATATGGGAGATATTTGGAATGTCAAAATGAATCAGACATTCAGAGAAAACATTTAATTTTGTCCTCCATGTGCAGAGATAACCAAAACATTTCACATAGTCATTTAATTTCTAGTTCTCTCTGTGTTAAACTATCTATCTGATCTTGACAATTTGTTCTTATGATCATTGGTGATTGGTAAATCGTTCAGTGTCGTCTGTCCCTAAAACAGGTTTCCTTTACCAAATACCAGTTCCCTTTGGGGCTCAAACCAGACTTTGGCCTTGTTACACTCATTGTCTTTAAGTCAGAACTTAACTCATAGCTGCTTGACTCGTGTTGAATTTCAAGGGTGTAAATCACATGGGAAGAGATTGCCCGTCTTTCTCCCACAGAACAACTAGGGGATTTGAACCACTTGTCTTTGCGTTAACAGCACAGCTTCCTATGGATCATGCCACCAGAACTCTCTTTGGCCAACAGAGTTAGTCAGTTGGACACACTGTAGAATTGGAGTACAAAACCTTGATTTTCTGTAAACTATATGGCCTAACTGTATTTTTTTACAAATGCATTTGTGGAAAAGGAACATCAGGAAATAAAAAAAAAATCCCACAAAAAACAACCAACCTTGGAGTTTTAAACGACTTCTTTTTTTCCTATTCTATAAAATATTATTATTGATATATAATATTTAAACTCAACTTTTCCTGATGATATGGTACTTTGGTGTATTTTGTATGAGCAGTGTCAGCAGACAGCTCATTCTAAAATCTGCTAGAAAACCATGAATCTAAGGAGTGTTCTGAAGGAATAATTACAAAAAATGGTTTTTCTTTCCCTCCAAAACACTGTCCCTTATGTTTGTAGCCATATGTCACTAATTTAAAAAGTTTAACTGTCAAGTTTTACAACATGAGAGTCTAGGGAACATTATGTTGAGTGAAATAACTCAGTCCCCAAAGGATAAATGCTACAGTAGACTGCCACTGTGAAAATAGGAGAGTAACTGACAAGGGGAGGGGAGAGGGGGAGCACAGAAATGGAATGTGTAGACAAAGATCTCCACAAAGGCCAAGGCCAAGGGAGAATCAAGCTGCAAGGAGTTGATAAAGACAATATGGCTACTGCAATTAGCAAGGTAAGTAACTGTTTAAAAAGGAAGGAGAGAGGGGCTTTGGAAGAAGGAAGAGGAAATCATTAGTCAGCAGAGATTAGTGAGGGAAAGGATGGTGAAGAAATAGGTGAGGTGCAATGGGGACTTGAGATGGAAGGATAAAGTAACACATCAGTAATATTCATTATATAAAACAATGTACAGAAAGGGTTGTATGAGAGGAAATGTAAATTAATGAAACAGTGCATATGAATGATCATATAAATAAATAATGTATTTACTTTTAAAATGAAAAGATTGATGCCTTTGCATGATGAGGTTGATGAAGAGTGTTAAATATCCCATGGACTGCCAACTTGGAAGAAGTGCAGACAGATGGCTCCTGTGAGGCAAAAACCTCCCAAAAGTATTATTATCCAATAATTTATTTTGAATGTGACCAATAAATACACACTCATATATATACACATATACTACTAATCATAAGATTTAATTATAAATATGTACTAGTAAGGGAGCTCCGGTGGCCTAGTGCCAAAAAGCTGCATTGCAATCCCAGAGATACACAGTTTAAATCCACCAGATGCTCTGCTGAAGAAGAAAGGGCAATCTTCTCCTTTACCAGTCAGATCCAATTTGATGGTACACACAAACAAAATAATAAAATTAAAGCAAAGCAAAACCAAGTAAGTGTGTACTAGTTAATTTAGAATGATGTTGTTGGTGTTGATTGCCTTCGAGCCAAGCACAACTCTTAGCGACTCAAAGGCCTGAAGCCTCTCTACAACTATCAACATTTATCAAAGTTCATAGTTTCCAGATGTCATGTTGTTTTAAAAGTGCTTCCAATAGGACCATTTATTTAACCAACTGAGATTTAATATTAAAATTTTACTTTATGAAATTTTTGATTGAAATGCTATACTTGAAAACTGTTTTCTTCTTTCAAAGGCAGAAGAGGAGAGAAACTATCATATCTTCTATCAGCTTTGTGCTTCTGCAAAGTTACCTGAATTTAAAATGCTGCGATTAGGTATAAATATGGCTTTATATTTGTTGCACTGTTATTGTTTTCTTTTAACTTCTAGTTCACTTACTTGTAAAAAAAAAGGAGCTTATCTCATACTGAAGTACTGATGGGTCAAATTATGTATGCATAATATGGAATAATAATATAAATGGAAGTTACGGGAGGAGTAAGGGAGTGGCCGTATAAGTGGAACAAAATTGAATTTGAGTTGATATGTTTAAGATTGGAGTTGAGTGCAACCACTGTGGAAGGCGGTATGGCGCTTTCTCAAAAAGTTGCAAATAGAGATACCATTTGACCCAGCAATTACACTGCTGGGAATATAGCCCAAAGATACCATAACTGACATCCAAGCAGATATATGCACACCCATGTTTATTGCGGCTTTGTGCACAATAGCAAGGAGTTGGAAACAACCCAGGTGCTCATCAGCAAACGAATGGCTAGAGAAAATATTCACACAATGGAATACTATGCTGCACTGAAAACCAAGGAACTCATGCAATAGTATTAAAAATGGGTGACCCTGGAGGACATTCTGATGAATGAAGTATCTCAGTCACAAAAAGACAAATACTGCATGGTGCCACTGTTGTAAAACAGGACTGACCTCGGGGTTGGAGGGAGACTGAGAAAGATGGGTTCAATAATGTATACTGCATTGAAACAGATGAGGGAGAAAACTTTAAAAGGATATTTAAAAGGGATATGTGATTAGGTATTTTTGTCATGACAGGAGTCCAGAGTGAAGGCTGCGTAGTGGATTGGACCTGGGGGAGGCTTTGTAAAACAATGAAAGAATTTTTCTTTTACTTTCCCAAGAGGGTAGTGTACTGGGGGGGGGGAAGATTGGGAGGGGAGAAAAGTGCAAAAGTGAATGAATGGAGACCCAAAGTCTCTGTAAATTTTCATTGAAATGAATAATAAATTTAAAGAAAAAGATTGGTGGGGAGCTCTGGTGGCCTAGTAGCAAAAAGCTGCATTGCACTCCCAGAGGAATGTAGTTCGAATCCACCAGATGCTCTTCTGGAGAAGGAGGGGCAATCTCCTCCTGTACCAGTCAGATCCAATTTGTCGGTACACACCCAAAAAAATAATAAAATTAAGAAAAAAAAAGATTGGTGATGAGTACATAGAGGATTATTATACTAGTTCTCTCTACTTTCATATATGTTTTAAGTTTTTCTTAATTAAAAGGCATCTTTCTGTCTGATGGAGATCTATAGGGTTCCTGATGAAGACAGTAAGGGAGCTTTGGTGTGTAAAGGGTTTGGCTGCTAACTCAAAAGTGGCCCAGAACCTCTCTGATGGTTAAAATTCCCAGCTGCTCATTGAGGGAACGATGGGCAATCTTCTCTTGGGCAATTTACAGCCTCTGGAAACCTGCTGGATTGTCAGCCATGAGTTGGCCCCGACTTGACAGCAGTGTGGAGGGAGGGAGTGATCCTAAACATGTAGCCATTACCCAACTAAGAGAAATATTTAATACTGAGTTTTGTATTAAAATACTATAACTGAAATAATAGGAAGCTTAGTTTTAAACCTTGTCATTTTACTGTACTGTCACTGCCCCTAATTCAGAGTGACTTAAGGATAAATGTCAAGGCTTTCTCATGGGCCGCACAGCTTTAATTTCCCTTATTTACAGGAGATGCAAATTACTTTCATTACACGAAGCAAGGAGGCAGTCCTGTGATTGAAGGAGTTGATGATGCCAAGGAGATGGCACATACCAGGCAAGCCTGCACTTTGCTAGGTAATTAAATTTCCTCTTGAGCTCTTCTGAATAATGACTTTATGACTCAAACAATCTTTGCTTGGAATGTTGACTTGACTTTGAATTAATGTGTTACTAGGAGATTGAAGATTCCCTTAAAAAAAAACACCCAACTTTTTTGGTTGTGAATGACATGAACTTTCTTTTTGGGGTGATAAACTTCTAAAATTAGATTGTGGTTAGTAGATGTGCATCTCTATAAATTTCTAAAAATTACTGACTTGCATACCTAAAATGGATGAATTTTGTGATCTGAAAATTAAATAAATGTATATATGTAAATTAACATAGGTATATAATACAATAAAGTTGCCTTAAAAATACTTGAAGGCATTATAGGAGGTAGGACTAGTTAATTTTTTGCTTAAAGTTTTACAGAATCTGAAGGTTAGAACTAAACGAAATGAGTTCTATTAAGATATAAGTTTTCAAAGTGCGTTAAGTTTGGTTTTCTTTTATTTGGGGTTTTTGTTGTTGTTTCATATGTGTGTGGTTCTGGATCGGCTGTCCTTTGTAGCACTTGGGGTCACCAGGAGTCAGTGTTGACTGTGCGAGCTTTTACTGGGAAATGTGACAGTGAGCTAGCTCGGTGACAGAACTTTGTATTATATAAAATTTAGTATTTGACACTGCTAAGTGCCACATTTTCTTTCTTAGATTGAAGAATGTTGACTTTTCATGTGATTTACATTAGTCTTAGTACCTTAGTGACAACTTTTAGATATTAATACTTTTAAAATCTCAGGATATAAAAATAACTGCAAAGCCATATGCTGATACTTTGAGGAATACCCACAAGTGAATTAATTTAAAATCACATACTCTACTTGGGCTGTTTCAGCATGGAGTAGTGTTTTGCAGGTCTACAGGGAAATGTGTTAGAAACACAGAATCTCAGAACCCACCCTAACCCTACTGAATCAGAGATCCATGCGTGAGTCATATGCACTCACTCAAGTAAAATAAATAGAGCTTTACCTCCTAAGCAAAATCAGTTTGCAGGTTGAAGATTGTAAGTTTTAAAAAGTTTTACTGTAGGAAATAGCAAAAACATTCATTATAAGGTTAACACTCTGTATTAACTGCCTGGTTAAATATTGGGAAATAATTTTACTACTTTTACTTACATATAACCATCCTTAATGTTCTGTATATTCTTATTTTTTAAAATTCTTATTTAATTGGGAGGCGGGGCAGAAGTCAGATATAATAAAAAGCTACAGGCAGTGCAGCTTTCTTCTCCTCTATATCCTGTTCTAACACCAAGTTTGGACATGCTTTCATCAAGCTAGAGTACACCAGTCTGAACTCCTCTGATCAACTCTTACTGGATTTATACAGTCTGTGCAGTTAGAAGAGTTAAGTAATCAGACCTGGGTTTCAAATTGCATTTGGCTTAGAGAGAAATAGAAATAGCAATAATGTTAGTACAGTCCTTAAGCCCTGCATGTCACAATGATGTTGATAATTTATTAGCATTTAAGCTTATGCTATGTAGTATGTTATCTGCATTGTCTTTTTTAATCTTCACACTTACCTGTTGAGACAGTCACTGTTATTTATTTTAAATGAAAAGATGGAAGCCTAGAAAAGTGAAGTTACTTACCCAAAATGAGATGGCAACTCAAAAGCAGAACCAGGCCTCAAGTGCTCGTCTGTAACTCTCTCTGTGCCCAATGTTGTCAGCCATGATGTCAAACTAACAAACCCATTAATGTCAACAAAGATCAAAGTGTTGTTAATTGTGCATAACATCATGCAATATTTGAGAATTAGCAATGGGCTTAACATTGTCTGTTATATTTGTTCAGTTCCTATTCTAAAATTAATCACTTGCTCATTCACTCTAATGTTTCAGGAATTAGTGAATCTTATCAGATGGGAATTTTCCGAATACTTGCTGGCATCCTTCACTTAGGCAATGTTGGATTTACATCTCGAGATTCAGACAGCTGCACAATACCTGTAAGTTCAGGATGAAAAAAAAAAAAAAAAGGATGAGCTTAGTATGATGGGAGTTGAGTTGTGGGGTTTTTGTTGTTGTTGTTAGTCCTTGTTTTATGAAAATAATATATTTTACCAGAGAGATAATTTTTAAATAACTATATACTGTAAAGTAGAATCATAAACAGTGAATAAAGAAATATGGATTCTAATATCTCATGTACAGGGATTGTGTGTGTTTGTGTGTGTGTAAGTGATTTTGGCTCTATATCATTTATTATTTATTCTATTTTTATATTATTTCTATTATAGAGATGTTACAATTGGATCAATGAGTCTACAGCAAAGAATTCATTTGGTCCATGACACAAATACCAAAAGTTGCTAACTTTATTTCAGGGGTAGAAAAGGAATATGGTTTAAAAATTGTTGAAGAAATAGTTAGTAGTGGTTGTTGCTGGGAAGAACTAAATGGCTGATAGTGAAGGCAAAGGGCAAGAAATGGATTTGCCCCTTTTAGTCTTATTGAATATGATTCATGTGCATCTGTAACCTGTTACAGTCCAGCAGAAGAGACATAGGCAAACAGGCAGGAGGAGCTGATATGGACAGGTGAAAGGACTACACTCATACCATACGTAGATCTATATCCATATATAGTGTGTGGTGTAAGTACGCACGTATGTGTAACACAACCATCAGGGATCAGTGTTGTACAAGCTTCTTAATCATAACCAAGCACCCTGATGGAATGAGTTGCTGGTTCTGGGGCACTGAGAACATCAAGGTCCGTTGACCTTGCATAGTCCACAAAGACAATGTTCTGCATGCTACATTGGTGAATAGTAGTGACTAGGACCTTAAAAGCTTATGAATAGCCATCTACAGTGTAACTATTGCTTTCTCCATATCCAGAATAATATCCAGAATAAAGAAAAGGGAAGAAAGATGCATTGAAACAATTAGTCCAAATGACTAATTCACCCTGTGAACCTCAACATTTGTGACCAGAACTAGATGGTGTCCTGTTACCACTGCTAACCTCTCTAAGAGGGATCACAGTAGAAGGCCCTGAATAGAGTGGGGGCAAATGTGTACCATAACTCAAAAATATAACAAAGATCACACTCACTCCTCTGATAGAGACTAGTGAAATCCCCAAGGCTATTCCTTTAATCCCCCTTCAAACCCCAAACAAATTCAGTACCTTGGCTCAACTTTTAGCCAAATGATAGACAAGCCTATAAGTTGACAAAATACAACAGGGAGGCACTGACTCCTTAGAATAAGCAGCCATATAAGGTGAAGAAAGCAATATTTGTCCAAGGATAAAACTCTGGAGGCAGGAAAGGGTGGGAGAGAAGGATTAATAGATATGAAAACTACAGGAAAGATAAGGGGATAATTAAGATTGTAAAACAATATTAAGATTATATAACAACATTAACATAATTGATATTGCAAAACAATACATATGAATGGTTGAACGAAAAACCAATTTGCTTCACAAACTTTCACTTAAATTTTGAGGACTTCTTGTTTTTGTTCAGGTTACCCTGATCTCTTCTCACATTCTACATTCTAGACATTTACTTGCCAAGTTGCCTCTGTTTCCAGACTTTCCTGAGGTTCTCTCTGCCTCTTATTTGCCTTCTAGCACAAAGATGTGGCAGTCTTTAAAAGCATTTCACTTCTGCCTTCTTTTGTCTTAGCACATATTACATTGTTCTGTAAAGATATCTCTTGCTTGCCTTTCCACATGATGATTTGGAGTTTTTTTCTTTTATGTTCTAAAAATTTTAGAAGGAGTTCTGGTAGCCTTGTCAGTAGGGAGTTGGTCTGCCAACCCAAAGGCCGGCAGTCCAAATCCCCCAACTGCTCTGCAGGAGATAAATGGGTAATCTCCTCCTTTGGAATTTGCAACCTCTGAAAACCTACTGAGGTCAGTTATGAGTTGGTTCTGACTCAATGGCAATGAATTTGAGATTTTGCTTTGGAAAGACGTCGAGAGCTCTGGTGGCTTAGTCTTTAGGGAGTTGCACAGCTAACCCAAAGTCCACACCATTCTAGAGGGTTGTATCCATCAAGAGCTCTGTCAAGAGAAAGGTGGGCAGTTCTCTCCCATTAAGATATACAACCTCAGACACTCGATGGAGGATTTATGAGTTGGAATTGATGACAGTGACATAGCCCTTTATATAAAACAGACCCAAAGGCACATGATTTGAATCCACCACCTGCTCATTGGGAGATGGGCAGTCTCCTCCTATGCGATTTACTGCCTCTGAAAACTCACTGGAGGGCCAGCTATGGGTCAGTTTTGGCTCCATGGTATACCACCACCTCCTAGAAGCAAAGAATGAGTTGCTTGCCTTTTCTAAATATAGTAGCTTTGTATTATATCACAAAACTAGTTTTCTAAAGTTTTAAAAAATTATTATTATTATATGAAATATGTGATTTTAAAAAGCCCAAACCTGTTGTTGTTAAGCCAATTCTGACTCCTAGTGACTCTATATGACAGAAACAAACTACTTCTTAAGGTTTCCAAGGCTGTAATCTTGTGTAAGCAGACTTCTATGTCTTTCTTTCACAGAGCACCTGATGGATCCAAACCACTAACCTTTTGGTTAGCATTCTGACACATAACCACTGTACCACAGAGTCTCCCTATGTGAGACACAATAGAAAAGAAATGCGTTTGTGACAGAGACAACCCCTATGACGAATGACTTTTCTATAATTAAAGAGTCAAGAACTTGATAGGTGGGGAGCTTTGTTCACAGAAAACTTGATATTCATGATTTTTCATTATGGATATTTGGTATGTAAATTTCCTAACCCATAGAGCTTAATTTTAATTGCATACTTTTCTCTCTCAGCCATTTATTCCATGGTTTAATCTGTTTTAAGTGAGTGAAATGCTCGTCATTATTTAAATTGATTTCTTCTGAGGAAATATCATAGACTGGCCTTTTTTATTTAATAGCTTTATTGAGCTATAATTCATATACTATTCCATTGACTGACTTGAAGTGTGCTATTTAGTGGTTTTCAGTATATGCAAAAATATACTGCTGTCACCATAGTCAGTTATAGAGCATTTTAACAAAAGAACCTTAAATAGGAACCCTAAAGCATTTAGTTAGCATTCTCTTATCCAGCCACTTACCCATCATAGTCCCAAACAGCCACAAGCCTACTTTTGTATCTATAAATTTTCCTATTCTGGGCAGCTCATATACTAGAAATTTTCTAACATGTAATCTTTTATAACTGAATTCTCTCATGTAGCATAATGTTTTCAAGCTTCATCCATGTTTTCCTATTTATAAATGTGCCATTTCTTTTTTTTTTAAAGCTTATTATAATTTGAATGAAAGTTTACAGAGGAAATTGATATTCTGTTCAGATTTATTTTATGACAGTGGATAGTGACGCAGTCCCCACATTTTATCATCATCCTTCTGACTGTCTCCCTGTGGTCCTTGTTTTCATTCAACCCTCCAACTTTTCTCTTCCTATCTTCGGGTTTTTATCCTTGGACCCTGAGACCAAACTAGTCTTGGGGTCTCCAACAGTTCCCATCAAACCAGTAAACCTAGTAAGGCTTATTGTGATTTTGAGTTTTGGGCCACTTTTCTTTCTCACTCTGTCCAGGACCCTCTGCTGTAATCCCTTCAGAGTGGTTAGCGGTGGTAGCCTGGCACCATTTGTCTTGTTACTTTGGTTTCAGGGTCATGAAGGTCATGAGACTCATGAGGTCTGTTGGTGCTGTGGACTAATTCTTTCTGTGAGTGGGACTTTCCTGAGTATTATTCCTGTGTGCATATACCAAGTTTATGGAGAGGAACATGATGCTGGGAAGGGTGGAGGGTCGACGAAGGAGAAGAAGACCCTCAACCAGATGGATTGACACGGTGACTGCTGCAATGGGCTCTTGTGTGTCAGAAAGTGTGAGGATGGCGCAGGACAGGATTGGTTTCAGATCTTTTGTTCATAGTGTCGCTATGAGTTATATTTGACTTGATGGCATCTAACAACAACAACAGCTCAAAGGCAAGAAGGGAACAGATAGAAAGATAGATGAACACAAAAACCACAGGGAAGAAGTAGGAAATATTCTGCTACACTATAGGACAAGGTATTGATCTGTTGTTCATAAGGTTGTAACTTGATGCGACCTAACAACAAACAATGTGTATGAGTGGTTAAATGGATTACTGGTGGGTTCTTTAAACTCAAATAATAATAAAAAGGTTGGGTTTTTTTTAAAAAAAATCATTACACTGCCAATATTTCCTAAAATTTGAATATTTTTACAGTTTTACTCTTTCTAGGGAGCTCTGGTGGCCTATTGGATAAGGAGTTGTGTTGTCAACCTACAGGCAGGCAATTCAAATCCACCAGCTGCTCCAAGGGAGAATGATTTCCTGTACAATTCATGACCTCTAAAAACCTGCTGGAGGGTCAGCTGTGAGTCAGTTCCGACTCAGCAAGGAGTGAGTGAGTGGTTTCGTTCTTTGAGAAATTGAGAAGTAATTTCAGAGGAAGTGTACATACAGTCTATGGAAGTTATTCAAAAGTTACTTCACTCTGGTTCTTTAATCCCTTGGAATTTTGTGATTTTTGCTTTTTTTCCAGAAAATGTCAACTTTGTTGTTTTGATAGCAACTACAGTTTGACTACTGAAGAGGCGAGAATCAATGATCTCATTCTATTTGGTTTGACAGTCAGTGCTTGTGGACTCCATAGTCAAGAAGTCAGAGAGCATATTGTGTTGGATAGGTCTGCAGTAAAAGCGCTCTTAAAGGTTTCATCTTGGTTTTTTTGTTTGATCATTTACAAATCATGTTAGTTTTTCATTTATTCATTCTAATACATTTTGTTTTATTAAATTGATAAAAATTTGTTAATTAAGTGAATGACAATTTCTGACCAACCTCTTACTGTATATTGCCTTTACCTATATAAAAATTATATACCTCACTCCCTCTCTTCTCATCCCTGATAACCATTCACAAATGATTCTCTCTATTTGTAATCTTCCTTAGCTTTTCCTAGTGGTGGTCTTATGGCATAATAGTCATATTATGACTGACTTATGTTACTCTGCATCATTTCTTCTTGATTTATCCATATTGTACAATGTTTCATAAGTTCTTTATAATTTTTTTAGTGAAACTTAATACTACATTTTTTTGTTTTTTAATTTTTTAAAAATAATTTTAATGAACATTTACAGAGGTTTTAGATTTCTATTCATTCATTGCTGCACTTCTCTCCCCGCCCAGCCCTCCCCCTCAATACTACATTTTGTGGATGTTGTTTTCACGTCTTTGCTATTTCCTAAAGGTTTTAAAAAGTAAAGATGTGGCTTTGTTAACTAAGCCATAGGTTTTTTTCATTCATCTTGGATGCATATGAAAGCTGGACAGTGAAAAACTAAGACTGAAGAAGAATGCATATGTTTGTACTGTGTATTGCTGAAGGATATTAGCTATATGCTTGAGAAAAATAAACAAACTACTGTCAGAAGAAATAAAACAGAATTATCCTTAGAAATGAGGAGTCAGACTTCCCTGATTAGATAGATCCTTTTCCTCTCACATGCATAGTGTTCACCTCGGTAGTGATTTTATATTCAGGGAATGATCACTTGATTCATCATATCTCTTCTTGATGACTACAACAATAGAAGAACAGGAATGTCCTATCTGGTTTGCTTACTAGCACATCACATACTGGCTGGTCAGTAGATACTTACTGACCTGCTAGCTGATTTTCAGGTGGGCTGACTGAATCCCAAGAGGGAGACAAAGAAAATATTATGAAGAGTTTAAAAGGTCATTTTTGAAATGAACTTTGAAGGAGAACTTTTAAAATGTGCTCTAGATGCTAGTCTAAAAGCTGCTTTTGAGTATCACCATCAATTAGTGTAAGGTGATCTTGGTGTTACAACAAAGAAATTGCTAGATTATGTTACCTCTTATTATCAGTTTTCAGGAAATACTTAATTGGCATGGTCCTGGGAAGTAATCATTTTCTTTTGGCAGCCCAAGCACGAACCTCTCACAATCTTTTGTGACCTCATGGGTGTGGAGTATGAGGAGATGTGTCACTGGCTCTGCCATCGGAAGCTGGCCACTGCCACAGAGACGTACATCAAACCCATCTCCAAGCTGCAGGCCACAAATGCCCGTGATGCTTTGTCCAAACACATCTATGCCAAGCTTTTTAACTGGATTGTTGATCATGTCAATCAGGCTCTCCATTCTGCTGTCAAACAGCACTCTTTTATTGGTGTGCTGGACATTTATGGGTAAGGATTTTTGGCTAACATACCAAAGTGGACATTTTTTTCTAAAGATTATACAGTAACTATAAAAAGATGTTTTTATCTTCTGTTGGTGAGGAGAAGAAAAATTCTGCTTATGACAATTCAAGAGTACCTTGATGGTGGTGATATAATTGTATGTTGTTAAAACTGAACGCAGGGCTAGCTGAGTAAGCTAGTGGGTGGAATTGATTAGTTTTCAGATTTCTGTGGCACATTACTATTTAATTTCTTAACAATCTAATTTTATTTGCTACTTGGCTTTCTCCAAGTAGCCGTCTTTTAACTTTTAAGACCCTTTCAGTGCATTTGTGCTTATTTGATGCCTAATGTTTCATTTTCTGATTGAAGCCCTAAAAACCACCAGTGAGGTTTCTGTTTCTATTTTTTTTCTCAGTATGTGTAGAACCATGAGTATAATTGCAAAGAGCACTTGAGGACGAGTGAGCCATCAGAAGCTCATGTTGTTACCTGCTGGAGCTTTTAAACAATCTCCCAGCAGCTTGGCTGATGCTCTGCTGTTAGGTATACATAGTCCATGTTATTGACTTATAAACCTTCGTCTTCACTGAGGTGGAAAGTATCACAGTGTTGATCAATTCCCAGTTCCTTTCCTTCTTGAAATGTGTGCATTTTCAATATTTTTTAAAAGCAGTTTCTCTCTTTTTTCTCTCCTCACTTTTGGTCTTACAGATTTGAAACATTTGAGATAAATAGTTTCGAACAGTTTTGTATAAATTATGCAAATGAAAAACTACAGCAGCAATTCAATATGGTAAGAATTTTCCTCTTTGAATAGTATTCTATAAATGATCCTTTTGAATTCTTGATCTGTGTTTAAAGCTGGTTTCTAAAATGAAATCTTGACTTATACATACTGCCTGGGGTTTAGAACAGCTGAACTGCTGGGGAATTGCTAATTAAATGATGCAATTTTAGAGTCAAGAGCCAGTTTTTCATAGTTCAGGTAAGATGACCTTTAGATTGCTGCCTGCAAATAATGAAAATTTGGTCAAAGTAAATTAAGCGAGTGAAGGAGGAAATGTAGTAGGTACTAGTGAAAGAAGTATGAAGCTCTGTGCCCAAGAATATCCTCGGATTTGTTCCTGAGGCTACTATATGTGCAGTTACAGCAGTCACTCTTACTTGCAACCAAAAGTAAAAACTTTACATATTCTCTTTTCAACAATCTGAAACAGTCACTGACCTAGTGACAGCAGTAATATTTTGTGAGTGGCTCTGGTTTAATTGTTTTGTGAAATAGAAACATCACATATTTTTGAGAATAACTGTGGTGTTAGGGGATTTAGAGGTACTTGAAAATGATTTGAGACCTGGGAATGAAGAGCACATACTCTAGAAGTGAACTGTTATTTGGGTTGGAAAATCCCACTGGGTAATCAAGAACCAGGGGACCTTGGGCAAGTTTATTGACTTCCCTTGGCTTTAGCTTCCTCATCTAGAAAATGGGGACGATGATTGAGCCTACTGCATATGGTTGTATAGATTATTACATGAGTCAGAATATGTAAAGTGCTCACCAGACATGGTTTCAAACACAAGTCAACCATGGCGGATGGCAACTCTTTGAACAATAGATCGGAACCTTGCCCTATCCTGCACCGCTAGAGGATCTCCACCATGCTAGAGGCCATTGTTCCAGGCACTGTGTCAGTCCATCATGTTGGAGGGCTTCCTCTCTTCTGCTGACTGATGAAAGAGGACCTTAAAAATGAAGCACTCAGAAATATTGGAAAGTAGAGGAAGGAAAAAAAAAGAATCCTTGATCCTTACTTTATATAGAGAGAAGTCAAGTGGTATGGTCTACAGTTGATAGAACAAAAAAAAGTTTTAAAATGTTATTTTAAGTTACAAAAGAGGAGAAACTCCCCCCAAACCAACGACATCTAAAATTAGTAATATTGAGAGAATAATGAGGGGCAGTGGAAAGGTACATTGTAGGTATCTTGAGTTTGCCTTATTCCTTTAGCAGGAGATCAGTAGATATTATTTCAAACTGATATATAAAAAATAGCTAAGAAGCACATTCTTTAGAAAGGTATAGGTGAATATGAGTATATCTAAATAGCTAAGAAAATGTTTAAAAATGCTTACCTCTAGAGAGTTAGATCAGGATTGGGAAGGGATGAAGCACGAGATTATTACTCATCATTATAAACTTTTTATTATACTGTTTGATTTTTTAAAACGCACTATTTCTTACTTTGATAAAATTTGAGCAACATATAAAAATTTGAGTGTGTAGAGCCAATTAGACTCCTTAGCACTCCTTAGTACTGTGAGGGACAGTCTTGAAACCTCAAGTTTATGACTGTTTCCATGATGATGTGATTGGTGTAATCTCCCCCCCCCCTTTGAATAGAAACTTTAATAAGAATCTACCACGCAGAGACTGCACTGAGTACTGTTTTCTCTAAAGGTCTTAATGAGTTTTTCTTGGCACAGCCTTCAGCTTTCAACTTGAGTATTTGACACAGGTGATTGGAAGTGTGAGAAGCAAAAGCCACTTTTGGGGTTGGCTAGTTTGTCTCTTTCTCAGGATCTCTTATCTCTCTGTGAGTGGCTTAGCTTTCTCATTTCTTTCTCTGTTTCTGCCTATTTTTCTGTTACAAAAATGTGCATACACATGAACATACACAAGCGCTCTCTCTCTCTATATATATATGTATATATATGTGTATATATATATACACATGTATATATATGTTTTATATATATATAAAACATCATAGCTTTTCTGTCTTCTTCACTCTAACTATAAAATGGCATGCTCTTTCCTTTCACTCACTATATTTTCTCTACATCCTGGTTTCTTCTTCCTCAGTTTCTGCTGCCTCATTCACTTCAAATTTCCCATGAACTGAGCAGTCATTGAAAACAATCCTGCCAAGGTCTTGACTTGCTTAGCTTGCACTCATCTTGCTTCTCTCAGTGTCAGCTCCTATTACTAACTGCCTCTCCCCGCACCCCTTAATTAATTCTTATATCTGAGGAAAGGAATCTGATGAACTTATTTAATTTTTTCAGTAGTGTACTCCCAGGTTGCAATGACCATTTGCACTCTTCCTGGATGATACCCTTGATATCCTCCCACAACTCATCTGGCCTTCGTTCATTAGTGTTCAAAGCCTCAAATCTGTT